GACCCCCAAAATGGGACCCCCAAAATGGGATCCCCAAAATGGGATCCCCGAGAGCCAGGAACCCCCTGAGATGCCTCAGGAACCTGAGAAACCCAAATCCCATTGGGACCCCCAAAATGGGACCCCCAAAATGGGATCCCCGAGAGCCAGGAACCCCCTGAGATGCCCTCAGGCCCCTTTAGGGGTCTCCTGGGACCCCCAAATCCCATTGGGACCCCAAAACTGGACCCTCAAGAGCCTGGAACCCCCTGAGATGCCCTCAAGAACCTGAGACCCCAAAATCCCATGGAGACCCCAAAATCCCATGGAGACCCCATGGAGACCCCCAAAATGGGACCTCCAAAATGGGATCCCCAAGAGCCTGAAAGCCCCTGAGATGCCCTCAGGCACCTGAGACCCCAAAATCCCATTGGGACCCCCAAAATGGGATCCCCAACAACAAGGAACCCCCTGAGATGTCCTTAGGGGTGAGGGGGGTCTCCTGGGAACCCCAAATCCCATGGAGACCCCATGGAGACCCCCAAAATGGAATCCCCAAAATGGGACACCCAGAGCTAGGAACCCTCTGAGATGCCCTCAGGCCCCATGAGGGTCTCCTGGGACTCCCAAATCCCATGGAGACCCCCAAAATGGAATCCCCAAAATGGGACACCCAGAGCTAGGAACCCTCTGAGATGCCCTCAGGAACCTGAGACCACACAATCCCATGGAGACCCCCAAAATGGAATCCCCAAAATGGGACACCCAGAGCTAGGAACCCTCTGAGATGCCCTCAGGAACCTGAGACCACACAATCCCATGGAGACCCCCAAAATGGGACCCCCAAAATGAAACACTCAGAGCCAGGAACCCCCTGAGATGCCCTCAGGAACCTGGGACCCCAAAATTCCATGGAGACCCCCCAAAATGGGATCCCAAAAACCAAGAACCCCCTGAGATGTCCATAGGGGCCAGGGGGGTCTCCTGGAACCCCCAAATCCCATGGAGACCCCCCCAAAATGGGACCCCAAAATGGGACACCCAGAGCCAGGAACCCTCTGAGATGCCCTCAGGAACCTGAGACCCCCCAAATCCCTTTGGGACCCCCCAAAAAGGGATCCCCAAGAGTGAGGAACCTACTGAGATGCCCTCAGGCCCCATGAGGGTCTCCTGGGACCCCCAAATCCCATGGAGACCCCTTGAGACCCCCAAAATGGGACCTCCAAGAGCCAGGAACCTCCTGAGATGCCCTCAAGCACCTGAGACCCCCAAAATCCCATGGAGACCCCATGGAGACCCCCAAAATGGGATCCCCCAGAGGCAGGAGCCCCCTGAGATGCCCTCAGGCCCCATGAGGGTCTCCTGGGACCCCCAAATCCCATTGGGACCCCAAAACTGGACCCTCAAGAGCCTGGAACCCCCTGAGATGCCCTCAAGAACCTGGGACCCCCAAATCCCATGGAAATCCCCCAAAATGGGACCCCCAAAATGGGATCCCCAAGAGCCAGGAACCCCCTGAGATGCCTCAGGAACCTGAGAAACCCAAATCCCATTGGGACCCCCAAAATGGGACCCCCAAAATGGGATCCCCGAGAGCCAGGAACCCCCTGAGATGCCCTCAGGAACCTGGGACCCCAAAATTCCATGGAGACCCCCCAAAATGGGATCCCAAAAACCAAGAACCCCCTGAGATGTCCATAGGGGCCAGGGGGGTCTCCTGGAACCCCCAAATCCCATGGAGACCCCCCCAAAATGGGACCCCAAAATGGGACACCCAGAGCCAGGAACCCTCTGAGATGCCCTCAGGAACCTGAGACCCCCCAAATCCCTTTGGGACCCCCCAAAAAGGGATCCCCAAGAGTGAGGAACCTACTGAGATGCCCTCAGGCGAACCCCAAATCCCATGGACACCCCATGGAGACCCCCAATATGGGACCCCCAAGAGTGAGGAACCCCCTGAGATGCCCTCGGGAACCTGAGACCCCCCAAATCCCATGGAAATCCCCCAAAATGGAATTCCCAAGATCCAGGAACCCTCTGAGATGCCCTGAGGCCCTGGTCCCCACGGTGCTGGTCCCCATGGTGATGATCCCCATGGTGCCGTTTCCATGGTGACGGTCCCCATGGTGATGGTCCCCATGGCGACAGTTCCCCCTGTGATACTGGTCCCCACGGTGACGGTTCCCCCCATGGTGCCGGTTCTCATGATACTGGTCTCCATCGTGATGGTCCCCATGGTGATGATCCCCATAGTGAAGGTTCTCCCCATGGTGACGGTCTCCATGGTGCCAGTTCCCATGGTGACATCCCCGTGGTACTGGTCCCCACGGTGACGGTTCCCACGGTGACGGTCCCCACGGTGACGGTCCCCATGGTGATGATCCCCATTGTACCGGTCTCCACGGTGACGGTCCCCACGGTGACGGTTCCCCCCATGGTGCCGGTTCTCATGATACTGGTCTCCATCGTGATGGTCCCCATGGTGATGATCCCCATAGTGAAGGTTCTCCCCATGGTGACGGTCTCCATGGTGCCAGTTCCCATGGTGACATCCCCGTGGTACTGGTCCCCACGGTGATGGTTCCCACGGTGACGGTCCCCATGGTGCTGGTTCCCATGGTGATGGTTCCCATGATACTGGTCTCCATGGTGATGGTTCCCATGGGGATGGTTTCCCCCATGATACTGGTCCCCATGGTGACGGTCCCCACGGTGCCGGTTGCCATGGGGATGGTTCCCCCCGTGGTGATGATTCCCATCGTGTTGGTCTCCATGGTGATGATCCCCACGGTGACGGTTCCCCCCATGGTGACGGTTCCCATGGTGACGGTCCCCACAGTGCTGGTCTCCATGGTGATGATCCCCATGGTGCCGGTTCCCATGGTCATTGTTCCCCCCACGGTGACGGTCCCCACAGTGACGGTTCCCCCCACGGTGACGGTTCCCACAGTGACGGTTCCCACGGTGACTGTTCCCATGGCGACGGTTCCCCCTATGATACTGGTCCCCATGGTGATGGTTCCCATGGTGCCGGTCTCCATGGTGACGGCCCCCATTTGTACTGGTCCCCATGGTGACGGTCCCCCCGGTGACGGTCCCCATGGTGACGGTCTCCACGGTGACGGTCCCCACGGTGACAGTTCCCCCCACGGTGATGATCCCCATTGTACCAGTCCCCATGGTGACGGTCCCCACGGCGACGGTTCCCCCTATGATACTGGTCCCCATGGTGATGGTCCCCATAGTGAAGGTTCCCCCCATGGTGATGATCCCCATTGTACTTGTCCCCATGGTGACGGTTCCCCCCATGGTGACGGTTGCCACGGTGACGGTTGCCACGGTGACGGTCGCCACGGCGACGCCCCCAGGTCCCGGCCATCTCCCTGGCCTACGAAGCGGCCGAGAGCGATGGGGGCTATGGGGTGGATATGGGGCAGGATGAGCTCGGACAAGCTGGTCAACGAGCGGCTCATCAGCATGGCCTACGGGCAGATCGGTGCGCTATGGGGCGCTATGGGGCGGGTATGGGGCTGGAGGGCGCTATGGGGCGCTATGGGGCGGGTATGGGGCTGGAGGGCGCTATGGGGCGCTATGGGGCGGGTATGGGGCTGGAGGGCGCTATGGGGCGCTATGGGGCGGGTATGGGGCTGGAGGGCGCTATGGGGCGCTATGGGGCGGGTATGGGGCTGGAGGGCGCTATGGGGCGCTATGGGGCGGGTATGGGGCTGGAGGGCGCTATGGGGCGCTATGGGGCGGGTATGGGGCTGGAGGGCGCTATGGGGCGCTATGGGGCGGGTATGGGGCGCTATGGGGCAGCTATGGGGTCCTATAGGGTGCAACAGGGTGCTATGGAGTGCTATGGGGTGCAATGAGGTGCTATGGGGTCCTATGGGGTGCGATGGATCCCGTAGGGTGCAATGGGTCCAATGGGATCCCATGGGCTCCCGTCACCTTCCCATGGTATTCCCGGCTCCGCAGGGATGATCCAGGGATGCAGTGGGATCCCATAGGGTGCTATAGGGTTCAATGGGATCCCATAGGGTGCAATGCGATTCCATAGGGTGCAATGGGGTCCCGGAAGGGTCCCATAGGGTTCAATGAGATCCCGTAGGGTTCAATGAGATCCCATAGGGTTCAATGAGATCCCATAGGGTTCAATGGATCCCATAGGGTTCAATGGGCTCCCATAGGCTCCCACGGGCTCCCATCATTCCCGTGTCATTCCCGTTATTCCCTAGGGATGATCCAGGCGCTGGGCGGCTTCTTCTCGTACTTCGTGATCCTGGCCGAGAACGGCTTCCTGCCCTCGTGCCTGGTCGGGATCCGCCTCAACTGGGACGACCGGACGGTCAACGACCTGGAGGACTCGTACGGGCAGCAGTGGGTGAGGGCGGCGTTCCGGCATTCCCGGCGTTCCCGGTGTTCCCGGCATTCCCGGCGTTCCCAGTGTTCCCAGCGTTCCGGCATTCCCGGTGTTCCCAGCATCCCCGGTGTTCCCAGTGTTCCCGGCGTTTCTGGCATTCCCGGCGTTCCTGGTGTTCCTGGCATTCCCGGTGTTCCTGGCGTTCCCAGTGTTCCTGGCATTCCCAGCATTCCCGGTGTTCCCAGCATTCCCGGTGTTCCCGGCATTCCCGGTCTACTGGCATTCCCGGTGTTCCCAACATTCCCAGCGTTCCCGGTCTACCGGCATTCCCAGCATTCCCGGTGTTCCCAGCGGTCCTGGCATTCCAGCATTCCCAGTGTTCCCAGCATTCCCAGTGTTCCCAGCGTTCCAGCATTCCCAGTGTTCCCGGTGTTCCCGGCATTCCCAGCGTTTCTGGCATTCCCGGTGTTCCCGCGTTCCCTCATTCCTGGCGTGCCTGGTGTTCCCAGCATTCCTGGCATTCCCAGCATTCCCAGCCTTCCTGGCCTTCCCGCGTTCCCAGCATTCCTGACGTTCCCGGTGCTCCCGGCGTTCCGGCATTCCCGATGTTCCCACGTTCCCGCGCTCCCAGCATTCTGGCATTCCCAGCATTCCCAGTGTTCCCAGCATTCCCAGCCTTCCTGGCATTCCCAGCCTTCCCGGCATTCCCGTGTTCCCACGTTGCCACTAGCATGCCCGGTGTTCCGGCATTCCCAGGGGTCCCGGCATTCCCAGCGTTCCCGGAGTTCCGGCATTCCCAGCCTTCCTGGCCTTCCCAGTGTTCCCCGCGTTCCCGGGGTTCCCGGCATTCCCGGCGTTCCCAGTGTTCCCAGCTTTCCCAGCCCCGTTCCTGGAGCAGCCCGGCATTCCCGTTCCCTGAGCTCGGAGCATCCCCATTCCCGGGCCTTGCGGCTGTGATTTTTGGGCTTCCGGTTGTGATTTTTGGGGTTGCGCCTGTAATTTTTGGGCTCGCGCCTGTGATTTTCAGGTGTTTGCACCTGTATTTTTGGGGTCACGCCTGTGCTTTTCGGGTTGCGGTTGTGATTTTTGGGGTTGCGGTTGTGATTTGGGTGTTTGCGCCTGTATTTTGGGGGTTGCGCCTGTGATTTTCAGGTGTTTGTGCCTGTATTTTTTCGGGTTGCGCCTGTATTTTTCGGGTCACGCCTGTATTTTTGGGGTCGCTCCCGTGATTTTCAGGTGTTTGTGCCTGTGATTTTCAGGTGTTTACGCCTGTATTTCTGGGGTCGCGCCTGTATTTTTCGGGTTCCGCCTGTGATTTTCGCGTGTTTGCACTTGTATTTTTTGGGTCGCGCCTGTGATTTTCAGGTGTTTGCGCCTGTGATTTTCAGGTGTTTGTGCCTGTATTTTTGGAGTCGCGCCTGTGATTTGGGTGTTTGCGCCTGTATTTTTTCGGGTTGCGCCTTTATTTTTCGGGTCGCACCTGTATTTTCAGGGTTGCGCCTGTGATTTTCAGGTGTTTGCGCCTGTATTTTTGGGGTCGCGCCTGTGATTTTCGGGTGTTCGCTCCTGTATTTCTCGTGGTCCCGCCTGTGTTTCCCGTTGTCGCGGCCGCGCTCCCGCTCACCCCGCGCGGCTGTAGCGCCCCCGCCC